ACCACAAATATAATATTAAATATAACCACTTATAATAATAATAATGTTGTGAACAAGAACATGAATGGGGACAACCGAATGGAGTTGGGCCTAAAAATTACAGAATATCTCACTTAAACTGAGAACCATACATTAAATACTAAATTTGCAAAATATCAGTAAATTGTCTGCAAATGTCAGTCCACCGTCTCAGATGTCATTGTTTGTGTAATTTCATACCAATTGCCTTCCGTTTCAATTCTTTCCTTCTTTAACTTCTACTGAAATGCATTCTATCTCTGATTATCGTTATGTACTACTTTTGTGGATATAAGTAGCTAACACCACAACAATAAGAATTAAAATGATAGTCAAGAGAATATATAACTATTGATTTATTGATTTACTTTTAGCTACTTCAACAAAAACACAATTAACAAAATATCCAAATTACTTTATTAATCAAACATCAATGGAAAATATAATAAATTTAAATACTAATAAATTAATCAATCAAAATGATACATTAAATGAAACATTGATTAATTCATTCAATATACATAAATCAATAAAATCGATTGGATTCGAAAATGAATCAATAATATTAGATAATAATCAAATATCAATAAACCAATTAATGATTCCATTAATTCTATTTGGATTAATTATAAATTTTCTAATAATCAATACAATAATAAAAATATTGTATAAACAAATACCATGGATAATATTTTTATTTTATATTATTATACTGGATCAATTTGATTTAATAATATGTATTATTGATCTTATTATTGCATCATATTATGAAATTAAATTATTTATTATCATAGAATTTTTTGGACGTTTTTATTGTCAAATTATACCAATGTTATATAATTTAATAAAACATGTACATTCAATATTATATATCATTTTTACAATTGAAACAATGAAATTATATTTGTACCCATGGCAACAATTAAATAAAACATTCAAACAAATAAAACAATTTATACAAAATATATTAATATTAATCATTGTTATAACAATTATATTAAATTGTCAATTTATATGGACATATGATTTATCAAAATTAGAAACATTTATATTACATGAACGTATATTACATAATATATATAAATGTGATTTTGCATTAACATGGATATTAAGTCCAATATTTTTAAATTATATATGGCCATTTATAGATCATATAATTGGTGATATATTACCATGTATTATATGTTTATTGAGTGGATTGATTAGTTATATATTACATCGATTTCGAGTAATCAAATATCAGAAAGAAATCAATAATAAGTTCGATTGTCATCATCATAATAGTAGTCAAGAGAAATATTTAACTATATTCATTCATGATAATGATAAAAAAATATATAATAAAAATTATTATTTATCATATATGAAATGGATTATGAAAATGATTCGAGTATTTAATTTAATTTGTATTATTCATGGAATATTTTTGATACCACGATGTTTATATTATTTAATGAAATATTTCTTTTTTATAAGTAAGTTCAACAAAAATTTTCTATAAATCTTTAGTACTATTGAAATTTATTTAAAGTAGCATAAAAGTTTAGTTGAAATTTTTGTGTTGCGACAATACTCATTATGGGATTCTAATATATAGAACTTATTCTATAGTGAAAATGATTGTAAATGGAAGTTTGTTATTTAAAATTAAACAGTAACAACACAAAAACTGGATGGCTGATAGTAGCAGAGATATGTGGAAACATACTGCCTAATAGACCTTATGGCCTCAGCCATAACTTAAGTGGGATATTAGGACTGATACCTATGAGTTTACAAGACTAGGTAGGTAAAGAATAGTAAAGAATAAGGCCTAAATATACAGTGTTGCGAAACTCAGTAATTATGTAATAGTTTTGTACCTAACTGAAATTCTAATTATGACACATGTTCGAGGTCGATGAAATATTTGGTAGTTGTTGTAATTAAGAGATATTTCCAGTAAAGATGTATTACCCGGAGACTAATATCACAAGAAAATATGAAAAGAAATTGGAAGATCATTGCGTAATATCGACAATGAACTGAAACTATAAGTAAAACCCGTTGGTTTCCGCATCAATGGACTGGATGCTAAGCGCTCGATGAAAGATTTGAATATGTTGGTTTGATCTCCAGTAGGATCTTGGATGTACACTATTACTGTGTGGCATACTTAGAAGAGATAGCTTTCCTTTGTTTCTCGATTCTCAATGTTTGCATAGATTCAGTTCTTGATGTAAACTATAAGAAACATGAGACTGAATCAAAAGGATTTCCAAAATATCCACAAACATTTTGGAAAATTGAAAAAGTGTGAAATTCAAGAAAGCTTATGCTTACACTATTTTATTACTAAAACGAATATTCAGCAATCACATGTTTCTTATAATCATCATGCAAGGAAGTTTAGAGATTTCAGTAACTTGTCTAGATCTTCCAAGTAATTGTGTAAATTTTACACTTCTGCAAGTCTTTTAGTTATCTCATGTATTTTAGATTATCTGCTAAACTTCATGCAAAGATTCACTTCTTATCAGCCAATGTACGTTTTTTTATATCAACATAACCATATGTAATTTTGATATTAACGATTGAATAGTCGCACTTCACTCAAATTACGATGTCAAACCAGCTTTAGTTAATCATCAACAATATTTTGTCTTTTTCATTACTATTCAATCAATAAAATTATCTTCTTCACACATAATAGAAGGTTGTTAATCACTGTATTGTCCACGTATATTCATTGGTTTGTAAATATATTTTCTTTTAGATAATCAATATATCCACTTTGATCACGAATTATTATAAATAAATACATATATCAGAAGGGGTTTTGTGAATATTATGGTAATTTTAATCAACATATGCTCATTAGTGACTGACTTCAAAAAGTATTTTATGAAGTTCTAGTCAGAAACAGTGACCAGTGGAGTTCAACTGGGTCTGTTATGACATAGTAACTCACTGAAGACAGTAGTGGATGTTTCGCTGGATTTTGTGGATTAGTTCAAGTCAGACATTACCATCTTTGGATGCCAGCCAGCTCAGTGGTCTAGAGGTTAAGCGTTCGCGCGCGAGACTGATAGGTGCTGAATGCGCGCTGCTGAGGAGTTTCACAGTAGGAAGAAACGGCCGTCCAGTGCTTCCAGGTTTTTCTTAGTGTTCTAGCTTCAATTGACTCATAATCTCAACTAATAAAATATACATATATCTATATTCTAACGCATTAATGTTCACTTTAAATTTTAGGTAGAGTAACAAATCGTAATAATGTACATAATCATGAATTAGATGATTTTCAAAATCAAACAGATCAAGGTCTATTGAATACTATCGGTTATATTATGGAATTATTAAAACCTTATGAAATTTATTTAAGTAACTATGAGTCTGCATTACGTTTTATAAATTTTATTGAAATATATATAAGAGCTATTATTCTGTTATTTGGTATAAAAGAATTTAAAGCAAATCTTTATACACATTTAACTACAATCATAAATTATTGTAAACGATTATCATTATGTAATCTATATGGTTTAATTCCAAAAAAATGTACAAACGTTCCATTCATAAATTATGGGAAGAAAGTATTTATCCAAAATTCTGGTCAACAAGCTAAATCTGTGCATAGAACTACTACTGATTTACCATTGAATCATGAAAAAGTCAAAGATGTCGAAATGTCGGAACATTTACACAAGAAAAACTGTAGCTCTGATGATCTCAGCAATGATAATACTAATAATAGTAATGAACAGAAGAAAACACCTTCTTTCGTAGAATATGGCAATACAATGAATTCACAAACCTCTTTAATTACTAATACCCAGTTTAATCATACTACTTATAAATGTAATGAATCGAATTTAATTAAAATTAATAAATTGACATCTAATCTTAATATTAATTCAAAATATGATTGGTATAATTTAAAAAAATATAAATCAAATTCAAAAAATCATAATTTTAATGATATTTCGAATTCTGAATTATTTAGAGAAAAATATCAGATTATTTACTTATAAAATATGAATTATACTACTTAAATGAATAAAAAGTAAACAAGCTTTACATTTTGAAAAAAACAATTTTTCCTATTATCCTCCTCAAAAATATTTATGCATAACTTAGTGGATTTTAATAAATTCTGTTTAAATTGATTTTTTAAAATTACTTCTCTTATAACTTGTGCCATGTATCCTATTGATATATGACGTAATGATACCGCCAATTAGAGAACTGTGAATTATCGACCGGACCAATGATGCATGAAACAAGTACGAGCATTCTGGAAACTTTATCGGTCCTGATTCCAACCTAGCCCTATCTATTAAGTCCAGAACACCAATCTCAGCACATAAAAGAAATGATCAAAAGAAAACGATAAATAAATCACAAAAAGGCTTCAGTACCTTTTTGTTATACTTTTGAGCACTTTTCATTGAGTAAATCGAATTATCCTCGCTTTAACACCCGTGGAACTTGTGTAACACAACTACATTACCTATAAATAATTAGGATGAACTCTTCTTTAGTAATATTTTGATTAAATTATATTCTTATGTGGTTGATACTCATTTGTTATTTCACACGTGGTGAGTCGATCACTTTCATGCATATATGCACTGAGATTTTGATATTGTTACTGTCGAGTTTATTATCTTCGGTGTATGCTAAGCATAAACTAATTATTGCTTGCTGTAGAACCGTTTATTTATATTTTTCCATACATAAAGAGTCCGAGAAGCTAATACAATCTTCAAAGTTTATTTGCCCCCAGGCGCATTGTCCCGACAAACCTAACAATATTCACATTTTCATTTATTGAAGGACAATATATGAACAATTTGCACAATACACAAACAACACTTAACGGTATGCATTATAAATAAGACTGTTTATGAATACACTCAAGTCGTTATCCAAGAAAGGCATGAAGAGAGGTGAGAAAATTAATGGATATAGTGAAGATAACTTTAAAAAATACGAAATACTTAAGATGCTTTTGAATTTAGTGTAAATACACAGTTTATTAAAGATTTCATAGGGTCCGATTGATGTGTTATTAAAAGTCGATCATTCAACTGATCTATTTGTTCAGATGAAAAAGAATGTTTCCAATTCAATAGAAATCCAAGTGAATCAGACGATGGTAACTTGGGAGTTGTCGTTGACATTGAAGCTGACTGCTGTTTCAAATAGGTGAATTGGGATTTGGGTGATTTCAAGCTGTCAGTAATAAGTGGATTTGTAGAACCTAATTGAAATATTCTAATATTGGAATATTCATCATCTTCATTCTCATCATTGGTAATACAAGTAGTGTGCTTTGATGACTCGATTTCTTCTTTCCGGTTCTCTTCATTGTCAAGTTCATGAGAATAATCTATAAGGGTCTTCACTACAATTTCATCGGCAGAATCACAGTTTTCAATGTCTGATAATGATGAAAGAGAAGGACTTGGGGTGAAAGATTTCTTTTCTAGAGATTGATTACAATTACACTGAATAAGTTCATGAGTCCATGACCCTGTTGATGTATTGGGAAGGAGAAATAATTCCTAAACAGTGAAAGAAAAAGGAAATAATAAATAAGTTACAAGAGAAAACATATATTACTTTATATTTTGTAATCACTTTGTACTACTTACAAATAATTAGTAGTGAAATACAGTCGCAGTAAATAATCCCAGATAATATGGATCGTAGAAAGATGGGCAAATTTATGCTTTGAATAACATGTCATTCTCTTCTCAAAGTAGCTTTGTTTAGATAAGAAAATGGCGTTAACCAGTTTTTAAATCATGATAAAAACAAATATTTAGTAAACAAGGACAGGGTTCAGGTATGATTTCATTTGAGATGATAATTTCAAACGGTTGATTTACGGAAAGAGCTGACGACGGATTTTAAATTAAATCTACATTTGATTCTTAATTACAATGATTTTAATTGAAACAAATCAAACAATTCCAAAATCCATCATAACACCATATCCACCAACAATTAACATATGTTAATGGCTTACGACTGACTGACCAGATGATTTACAGTTAAATGAGGTATAAAATCACTCATCTGATTTTAAGCAATCTAGATCTTGATTCAACGAGAATCTGCCTTCAGTAAAGAAAAACATTGTAACATACATTTAAAAAAATTAATCGACACAACCGATTGTGCTGATGACATGATAAGAACAGACTGCATAGAAAAACATGAATCAACAGACAATATGAATGGTTCCCCTATACGACCCACTGAGCCCGAGCAATAGCTAAGTATTGCAAAAAATTGTTATCTAGTGAAGAAATGACTCTTCATTTATATTTTGAGGCATCCTAGAACTACAGTGGAAAAAATAGTTGAATGATTTATATTGATAAATCCAACGACAGAATAAGTTATCTAAGGAGATCTATCGAAACCAAACAGCAGCATCATGAACTGGAATCCGAAACAGGAAATTCTATCTCGTTGGTGGAAAAATTTTAAAAATTTGAGATCCTGTACAGGACATTTCAACCCAAGCGTTTGGATATCAATTATGCAATAAAACTGAAAGACGGCTAACTTCAAAGCCAACAACTAACGTAAATGATAAAAAACATGATAATAATGTCAAGTAACACTATTTCAAAAATAATCAATATCAACAAACTTTCAATTCATCACGAGTAAGAATTCCAAGATTTTTATCAGGTTTCTTTTTTGTCTCAATAAATTCCAAAAGATTTTCATTATACATTGATGTATTGACTAATGTTTGACTGGTTAAAGCTAATTTAGCTGCTTGTCGTTGAAATATACGTTCTTCCATACCACCAGCTGTTACTAACCGGTATAAATTAACCGATCTAGACTGTCCCGGACGCCAAATACGAGCCATAGCCTGAAATAAAAGAAGAGTTTAACATGTGGAAATTTGAGTAACTGAAGTTTAGTAAAAGAAAAGATGATATGGTATCTTAGTATCCGTTTATTTGGGGTCTTTCAGGAATTTATTGTTAATATTTGTAAGTTAAACGGATTAATGTATGACGATAATCACATGTAGACTTATTGAATGAATTTAGATTAACAAATACAGTTTGGAGAAGGCATGACAACAGATAAAAATGTAAATCTAGATTAGTCATCTGAGATGATTGGTTAATACTGAGTTACAGTTTTAGAAAAAACTATGATACTTATTAGTGTAGGAAGTAAACCACCAATTAATTACTACGTTGAATTTATATGAAATGTTTAAGTAAATGTATCAGGTTAAGTAAGCTAAATGACTGGAAAACTCAACATATTGAAAATTAATAGTTGGTTAATTAAAATCATATTTATGAGCAAATGAACACAGGTTAGCGATTAAGCGACACGATATACAGTTACCGATGATATCAATGCGTGCAGACAACTACGGACATGAATTCCACTGGAGAAACGTCAAGTTCTGTATTAAAGAAACTTCGAGTATGTCAAAGAATTCCTAGGGGTGTGAGATTAAGATCAATGAATAATCAACGGTGCATATTGATATAGAGCCAATCTATGAAGGAACACAAAAAGGATAGATCATTCACAAGGTCATAGGTCAACCAACAAGGGTATTTAACGTGAACAAAAGGAAAAATGATGACAATAAAAATTAATGAAGAAAGTCAATCACAAAGTCATTGAAACAAACTGATAAAACGCAGAATAACTGAAAAGTTCACATCTATCCGGAGCATAAACTGAAGATATTGTCCAGAATAAAAATGAAGACCTCGTAATCAAATCATTCAGCTTAAATTAGAGGACATAACACCGAAAGGAATTATGTATAAACCTACCATTGCATTATTGTTAATCGCTCTTTAAAGGTAAGTATTGACTACATAAATACAATAAGAATCCGTAACTAGGTTTATCCAGTAAACACTGGACACCAAATAAATATAAAAAAATAATTTTACTAACTATCCAAAAAATTTCAACCTATATTATGCATCGAAAATTTGGCTTCAAGATACAGAGAAAGCTATATGAATTCATCTAACTAAATAAAGATTATGAGTTCAAAAAAAGTTTCTACAATGTTCCATTTAATGGATCCTCTGAAATCGCTTTCAAGATAACTACCCCTTATCCAGTTGACATTTTATATTCTTTATTAGTATGTTTACTGAATTACAATTAACACCTCAACCAACTGACTGATTGTTGCATTCATTGCATTATTCAATAAATTAAGGAAATACGGGAATTTTATTCCATGTATAATTAGTAAATTTACTTGACTAATGACCATGGATTTTCAAAAGTTCACTTCTCCGTCTAATTCGATTTACAAGGTTCAAGTCAGTCTATAAACCCATTCTTAGTAAGTTACATGATTCTAAAATAATTTATATTCAAGTTGAATAAAACTTACTATATAAACAGACTTTTAGAGAGTGACGTTGAATTATAAGAACAGAAAAATAAACAAAGAGTTACTTGTGCATCGTTTGCTGGATTCCAATCCATATCGAACAAAATTAAGTAATTGGCACCAATTAAATTTAAACCTACTCCACCAGCACGTGAACTAAGCAGTAATATACCTGAATAATTGATCAAATAAAAGAAACAAAAACAAAATCTTATATTTATTGCGATAGAAGTCACACGGCTTGTTTTCACGCGTAAAAATTCCATTTGTGATTTATAATCCTACTCCATTTTTTTCTTTTTATCGCTGAAAAATTCCCATTATATTATAGCACAATTACATGAATGAAGAACATCCTTTTAAGTGATTTCACATCAGATTCTACAATTATAAATCCAAGTTAATAATCCATGAAATGGACCAGGTTTGAGGCAAAGTACATAATATAAAATTGTGAAATGCACATCAAGGATTGCTGTTTGTCATATCAAATCAAATCAAATAGTCAGTGTTAAGGCTAACTAATATAAAGTGCTAACTTGAATCAGTTAATAAGCGAAACGAAACTGAGAGATAAATCATGATCAGAATAAAAATGGTCAACATAGGATGAGAGAGAAAATCAGTAATCACGTAATATGTAGAATAATATGAATTAGGACACAGAGTAGATAAGGATGGATACTAAATAAATAACTCAAGACGGTTATCAAGTTCAGTAATAAAAACAATGATAAAGAGAATAATAATAATGGCAAAGATAATAATAATAATAATAATAATAATAATAATAATAATAATAATAAGTTTCGGACATAAAAATGAACACTGGCCAAAATACGTCACCAAATTCGTCATTCATATAAATGTGATTTCACTTTTTTAGAAAAATTATTATAGTACTTAATAATATTCAGTAACTTAATTTATTTCTAATCATTTTCGAACGCATTGCTCATATAATCTATTCACCATGTGACTGTTCCAAGTATTTACATGCATTTGTGACATTTAATCCATCCATTATTGTAATCATAATCTCCCAAGATTTGTTTATTTGTAGAAAATCCCCATATTTAGTGTTGCGTAGTTCACCTTTAAATTTTTTCTGCCATTTTTGAATTGGATACATAGTGTCATTTAATTTATCATACGTTTTTGTAAACTGCTATTAAAAAGTCATTGTGAAAAGTATTTCCATTTTAGTCGTGCTTTTAAAATATAAAGGCTTTAGAAATGTCACAGTTTGAAGTTCATGTAAACTTTATTACTTATGTTCATTATTATTATTACCAATATCATTTTTCTAGGCAATTCTTTTTACTTTAGACTTAGTGACTTTTACATGTAACTCGAAATCTTTAAACGAATTCAATGGGTCTGAATAAGAAAGGAAGTGATATCACAACCAGGATATAATGTGCTTGCTCAAATGACCTCGTCAGGTGCACACATAAAATACTAACATCTAATTTCGTGCAATGAATGTACAATGAATGAAGTAAAGACAATTCCAGTTTATTAATATGAGGGCTTCGACTTTATGTCCTGTTGGTTCGGTGACTCAACAAGCGACTCACAACGTTCTAGATTCCAATCGAAGCCGGAACATGTTGGACATATTTTAGTTAAACCAATCAAATAGTGCCATTTGCTTTCACCAAAAATTGGTGGGTCTATTCATCCAACTACATCGCGTTATCTTATTTATAACCAACAGAATCCTGCTTCACCAAACGGGAAAATAAACAACTTTAGGGAGACCGAAACGAAGATCTAGGAAAATTGTATCCAGATAGTCGTCATCCAAAAGCTTTGATTCATAATAACAACCCAATTCTTGAGTGTTTCAATAACAAGTTTTTCAAACGACTTACGATCATGAGACGTTGGATCATTGATTCTCTGAACAACTTCAGCGCGTTGTTTATTCGTTGTCTGACCATCTAATCGAAGAGATGGTTGTCCAGTGACTAGATTACATAATTTCTCCAAAAGATTAAGTGTCTGGAATATGGTAAATGTAAAAAAGTACAAGACTGATAAACTGACTTATATTTTGAAGTATTGTTTTCATAATATATATGTATGTTAAAAAGAAAGCCACAAGATCCAACAATGTTTATGCACGATCAATTAGCCGTAGGCTAGTATGAGACCTAGTACCAATTTGTGTCATTTGACAAGCCATATCAACATAGTGATATGCCAGAGTAGTAGAAGTATCAGTTTTGGTAGTATTTGTTGTATCAGCCAGCAGAGAAAAATTCAACAAGATGAAAAGAAGTGGAGAGGGAAGGATAGTACTTATAAAAATATTCATGACAAAGAAAATTTAAACTCATGAGAAGGAAGTTTTTATATCAGTGAAACTGTATGAACCCAGTTTTTACTACAGACTGTTATCATTTCAAAAGCACTGAACATAAATACGTAAATCTTTTATCTCAAGCGGCAATGTTAACCTTCTGAGTACTACTGGGATAAATTAGTTGCCTCCTATGAACCGAAGTAATATAAATTGATAGAGAGAGTAGTATAACAACGTTTATAGTAATCAAGTCATTATACTTACCTGAGTAAAATTGGAAACTAATACAAGACGATCATTAATATGTAAACTATTTGTACTATTACTGTTAGATAGTCGTGATTTTTTCTGGAAATTCACTGTGGACGAAGATGACAGTTGTTTGTCAAACAGTCGTTTCAGCATGATATAAAGAACATGGAACTTTCCAGATAATTGAATAAACTCAGTCAGATTTGTAAAACAGAGATCTTGTGCAACTATTGAATGTTCAGAATTCAATAAATGGAGCAAATCTGCAGTCAGTTTTGTAGGTAGCTGTATGTGACGGGAAAAAAATGATGAAATGTACACAACTAAAGGAACTAGTTGAAATAACTTTATTCGATGAAAATATTGAGAGGAAACTGTGTATTTACTTGCATGGTATGGAGGATTGTCAGATTCTATTCTCAAAAAGACCACTGCTTGCAAGACTGACAATTTTGTTGATTATTCGAACACTTAGTTTGGAGTGATTTTTTAAAAAAACATGTTGAGAAAACCCAAAAATCTATTAACACTTTTAAACGACAGTTGAAACAAACACCTGGCTATAAAACAGGGAATGATTTGCATATTGTTTATAAGAGGTTTGAAATATTTGATTGAAGGTTGCCTGAAGGATAAATATTTCATGTCAAGATATAAGTAAGTAATACTAACTAAGATCAAATGCAAACTACCGTGATAAATAGGATAAAAAGCAATTAAAAGAGTTTCGAGTATGTATCAAACGGTATATGTGTGTGTTCAAGACATCCGTTGTTATGACTTCACTTAATAACTAATACCATTAATAATGTTAACTGAAATGCATGAAAAAGTGGGAACAACAAATGGCCGTGAGGAGTTACTTATTACAAGCGTAAATCATACAAAAGGCTGAACAGTTTTAAGATATAAAGAACCACAGTGAGATTGAACATGTTAGACAACATGGCCTAAAATCTAGGCTACTGTCATAACCTATATCTAACTTTTTATGTTGCTCATTTTTGTAATCTTATCTGTATGGATTGTAGGTAAGAGAACTGATGCAACAAGGTATCAAGTTACATTGTTATTAGTTCAGTAATACTAATTTCTCAAGTTTACCGAAATGATTTTTAAAAAGTTGAGGAGTTGCGGATGCCTTACAGTGTTAAGAATGAAGCGAATCGACTTCTGAAGTATAACCATAAATATGGAAAAAAATTAATTGGGATGTATTACAGTGCTAATATATAATATTAAGTGACTCTACCTATCTAGGTGGTTTATAGATTTGTTACATGTAAAAGTAGTTTTTGACACGGACTGAAATACACTGATAAACAATTGTAAACCAGAATGTACAGAATATTTATTTTTCCTACGTTTGTGACTTCCCAGAAATTCATATGAGACAAAGCCCAGAACGATTAAGCCTCACATGGAACCCAATACTATGACAGTCATGTAACTATTAATGAGACGATCATCAAAATTGATTCAGCAAAGCCTTAGGAAGAGACTGAGACAAATACGTAAGAGGAAGAATTTCAAATTATGATAGCACCATTTAGTTTAACATTAAAAAGCATTTAAAAAATAAAGAATAAAGACAATTAAGTGGCAGTTTTTTAAGTAATATTTTAGAATGGAGTAAATGAGTAGAGTATGACTAGGAACACATTCGTTTATTAGACAACAAGACCTTTTCATACAAAATTTAGAAATATCACCTAGATAATCTAATTGAAAAGAGTTGCGTAAACTTATGATTCAATACATTTGGAAGCAGAATGTTTAAGTTGTGGAATCATTATACGTCTAAATGTCATTTCTTCTTAATAAAATGTACAGCTCAAGTAACTACATATATCAAACAGTTATAGCTAAGACAATTATGACCAAAAAACTATTCTGTAAAAGCTAAAGATCTGAAGTTTCTTAATTTAAAAAATAGTAACAACTCACACGATCAGCTGCCTGATTTTGTGTAGAATTCGACTGTATTAAATAATTTCTTAATAGATATGGATGATTGTGAAGTTTTCGAAATGCTGTTATAACTGATAAAATGGAATTATGCTGCTTTGAACGTGATGACGATACGCTTTCCACAGATTCAACAAAATCTTCATAATCATCATCGTGTGAGAATAATTTAAGAGATTCACATCGACTTAAATTAAATTCATTATTCATCCACTGTGTAAGTATAGCTTCCAAATCGGTTTGCAGTTTACTCGGACGACAAAACAAAATATGTTCAGCTATATATAGAGAATAAAGCACGTTAAAAAACAACCAAATAAGCAGACTGTTAGTAGAAAAATATTTATTCATGTTAGGTGGTTGCAATTACTCGAGAGTAAACCCTGTTTAACGTCAGTTTCGTACTAGCTACCACACCTAAGAAAGAAGTAGCTGAACTCTCAAGGGTTTCCTGCAGACTACATTCAACCATCTAACATTAAAGTATAGTGAACATGATGTCCAGACACTGATAATAGTAACATTGCTGGATCTTGTGGCTTTCTTTTTAACATACATATATATTATGAAAACAATACTTCAAAATATAAGTCAGTTTATCAGTCTTGTACTTTTTTACATTTACCATATTCCAGACACTTAATCTTTTGGAGAAATTATGTAATCCAGTCACTGGACAACCATCTCTTCGATTAGATGGTCAGACAACGAATAAACAACGCGCTGAAGTTGTTCAGAGAATCAATGATCCAACGTCTCATGATCGTAAGTCGTTTGAAAAACTTGTTATTGAAACACTCAAGAATTGGGTTGTTATTATGAATCAAAGCTTTTGGATGACGACTATCCTATTTTCCTAGATCTTCGTTTCGGTCTCCCTAAAGTTGTTTATTTTCCCGTTTGGTGAAGCAGGATTCTGTTGGTTATAAATAAGATAACGCGATGTAGTTGGATGAATAGACCCACCAATTTTTGGTGAAAGCAAATGGCACTATTTGATTGGTTTAACTAAAATATGTCCAACATGTTCCGGCTTCGATTGGAATCTAGAACGTTGTGAGTCGCTTGTTGAGTCACCGAACCAACAGGACATAAAGTCGAAGCCCTCATATTAATAAACTGGAATTGTCTTTACTTCATTCATTGTACATTCATTGCACGAAATTAGATGTTAGTATTTTATGTGTGCACCTGACGAGGTCATTTGAGCAAGCACATTATATCCTGGTTGTGATATCACTTCCTTTCTTATTCAGACCCATTGAATTCGTTTAAAGATTTCGAGTTACATGTAAAAGTCACTAAGTCTAAAGTAAAAAGAATTGCCTAGAAAAATGATATTGGTAATAATAATAATGAACATAAGTAATAAAGTTTACATGAACTTCAAACTGTGACATTTCTAAAGCCTTTATATTTTAAAAGCACGACTAAAATGGAAATACTTTTCACAATGACTTTTTAATAGCAGTTTACAAAAACGTATAATAAATTAAATGACACTATGTATCCAATTCAAAAATGGCAGAAAAAATTTAAAGGTGAACTACGCAACACTAAATATGGGGATTTTCTACAAATAAACAAATCTTGGGAGATTATGATTACAATAATGGATGGATTAAATGTCACAAATGCATGTAAATACTTGGAACAGTCACATGGTGAATAGATTATATGAGCAATGCGTTCGAAAATGATTAGAAATAAATTAAGTTACTGAATATTATTAAGTACTATAATAGTATGCACAAAAAAAGAGAAAGAGAATGAAGTGAGATTATTTTATTATTATTAATGGCTTTTTTCAATATTCTAGTTTTGGTACAATACAGAATTCTAAGCAGAGGTTATTTTAACAAGTTACTTACGCAACAATAACAAAAAAATACACAGTAACCAATAAAAAACGAAAATGAAGAAGCCCTTTTTAAAACAGAAAAAAAACCCGAAAAACTGTACAACTTTCCAAATTAGAGACCTCTAATCTCTAGATTTATCAATCCACTTAGCTTACGAACTTCATTAGCGTTCTTCTCCTTGTACATCCTTTCTTTCACCCTCCGTAGTCGTTTTAGTTTTGAATATGTAAGTCGATTAAAACTTAATTTAAGGTAACAAGTGATAACATCAGTAGTGATTTGCAGTGAGTCATCTGTAAATAATTCCCAGTTAGTCGTATGAAACATGTTTTGCAGATTTCGGGTATTTTCTTCTGAGTAATTCTTATATTTGACTTTCTTGGTTTGATGTAAGAGTGTACGTTTCCCATGCTTTGCATATACTTTAAGTAGAACACGAATTATACAGTGATCTGAGCTAGACAATGAAGCACGTTTACGAGTCACATATATACTCACATCATTAATGAAAACGAAGTCTAAATGAGCATCCAACCGATTAGGAAAATCTACTACGTTTTGGTGACATAGTGACGTAAGGAAGCTACAGTCACATGAATTGAAATCCCCACATACAACTCAAAGTGAATCACTGAAGGCAGTAACAGCGAACTCAGTGAATTCATCAGCGAAAACAGATAGTGCAGATGATGTGCAATCTGGAGTCACGTAGATATCGGTAACATAAACATATTTGTATTTATTCAGATGTTTTGGACGACATCTTAGAGTTAGACAGTCGATAAAGTCATTTGAAAACTTAAAACACACAAACGAAGATCGACACCAGTTTATGTTTACAAACGTGGCTACACCGCCACCACACCTCCTTTTATTGTTTGATCGATCCTGACGATAAATTTTAAAATCACGTAGTGATATTAGACAGTCATCCTGTAAAACCAAGATTCTTGAATTGTGATGACACCACGATTACGATACATATTTTGACTTAGTAGGAATTTCAGATAGTCCACTTTGTTGATTAGTGATCGACAGTTAGAATTTAGCAACTCGGGAATCGACAAACGATTAATGTTCATTCTCTTTAACGCATATTGCCGACCACCACGATGTCTTTTATAGTACTTTTTTGTAACTTTAGCAGCGAAAGGTCGTAGGCATTTCATAAACGCTCCTATATAGATTATGCGATTAATGGAGTTAGTGAGAGGTTAAAACAAAATGAAAAACAGATAACTTGTTGAAATAATTAGATGGCAGAAACAGGTAGCCCAGATATTCAAGCAGGCCGCTCAGTTAAAGATCACAAAAGTAATCCTCACGTGTGAAAACAAGCAATCTGGCTTCTAGCTTAGATAATATAAAATTTCGTTCCATGCATTGTTTATTTACGTATTATATCTTATGAACGCGAGCTTGTATATTAAAGCAAACAATTTCGACAGAATAGGGATTACGTAATAGTCTATTGTTAGCTATTAATGTAAAGCAAGCATTGAAAAGTCTTTGGTGGTTCATTTATGGAAAATTAATCAGAGTTACAACTGTTCGATATTCTGCACTACTCACAAATGCAATTGAATTGATCAATATCTGATACTATATCGGCTCTCAACTCCGCCTGGAGTCCCTACGGGGGCTACTGCCGGTCCCAAGCCCGGATAAAGGAGGAGGGCTGGGCATGGGGTTAGCGTCCCCATCCCGTAGAAAACCAACTCGCAAAAAAACGCTAACCAGAAAAAATTATTCAAACCTTTTAAACTCTGCCCCGGGAGTCAGGTCTTCATTTAGAAGAACTATGACGCCTCATGATGAAAGCCAAATTCCTTCGGAAGTTACGAGGCCGATGCCCCTTCTGACAACCAGAGCGATCATTTATTTAGGTACATGGAATGTTCGTACAATGTGGGACAACGGGAGAGCCCTCCAAATTGCTGCAGAAATGAGGAGATACAACCTAGAGGTGCTTGGGATCAGTGAAACACATTGGACGCACGTTGGACAACAACGACTAACTGCAGGAGAGCTTCTGTTATACTCCGGCCATGAAGAAGAAAATGCCCCACATACACAAGGAGTTGCACTGATGCTGTCCAAACAAGCACAAAATGCACTTACAGGATGGGAATCTCATGGACCAAGGATCATCAAAGCCTCATTCAAAACAAAGAAAGAGGGCATTTCAATGAGCATCATCCAATGCTATGAGCCTACCAACGATTACAATAAAGACGCTAAAGATCAATTCTACGATAGGCTGCAGTCAATCATCGAGAAGTGCCCAACAAAGGACCTGACCATTCTGATGGGAGACTTCAATGCCAAGGTTGGAACGGACAACACTGGATATGAAGACATCATGGGACGAAAAGGACTGGGAGAAAGGAACGAAAATGGTGAGAGATTTGCAAACCTATGTGCCTTCAATAAACTGGTCATAGGCGTCTCCATATTCCCACATAAACGCACACACAAAATCACATGGATTTCACAGGATCACGCTACACAGAACTAAAGCGACCATATTTGCATCAACAAAACGTTCAGGAGGACGATGGAAGACGTGAGAACCAAGAGAGGAGCTGATATAGCATCAGACAATCACTTGTTGGTAGCCAAGATGAAATTGGAACACAAGAAGCACTGGACAATGGGGCGGACAATATCACGAAAGTTCAATACGGCCTTTCTTCAGGATACTAACAAACTCAATAAATTCAAAATAGTCCTCAGCAACAAGTTCCAGGCCTTTCATGATCTGCTCAATGGAGAAGGAACTACTGTGGAGAGCAACTGGAAGGGGATCAAAGAGGCAATCACTTCAACATGTCATGAGGTCCTGGGTCACAAGAAGCACCATCACAAGGAATGGATCACTGTTGATACACTGGATAAGATTCAAGAAAGGAGGAACAAGAAGGCAGCAATCAATACCAGTCGAACAAGAGCAGAAAAAGCCAAGGCACAAGCTGAATACACAGTAGCAAACAAACAAGTGAAGAGGAGCATCAGAACCGACAAACGTAAATATGTGGAATATCTAGCAAAGACGGCGGAAAAGGCTGCAAGAGAAGGGAGCATGAGACAACTGTATGACACGATAAAGAAACTCTCTGGAAATCGTCGCAAACCAGAACGACCAGTGAAAAGCAAGGAAGGCGGGGTAATCACCAACATTGAAGAGCAACAAAACAGGTGGGTAGAACACTTCAAAGAACTCTTGAATCGACCAGCTCCACTGAACCCACCCAACATCGAAGCAGCACCCACGGACCTCCCAATCAACGTTGGCCCACTAACAATTGAAGAAATCAGCATAGCCATCAGACAAATCAAGAGTGGCAAAGAAGCAGGACCAGACAACATTCCAGCAGTGGCACTAAAAGCAGACGTAGCGGCAACTGCAAGGATACACCACATTATCTTCAATAAAATTTGGGATGAGTAACAAGTACCAACAGATTGGAAAGAAGGACTTCTGATCAAAATAACGAAGAAAGGCGATCTAAGCAAGTGTGAGAACTACAGGGGCATCACTCTTCTCTCAATACCAGGAAAATTCGTCAACAGTGTACTGCTAAACACAATGAAGGACTCCGTAGACGCCCAACTTTGAGACCAACAGGCAGGATTCCGTAAGGATAGATCGTGTACAGACCAAATCGCAACTCTACGGATCATTGTGGAACAATCAATTGAATGGAATTCATCACTCTACATCAACTTCATTGACTACGAAAAAGCGTTTGACAGCGTGGACAGGACAACACTATGGAAGCTTCTTCGACACTATGGTGTAACTGACAAGATAGTCAATATCATACGGAATTCCTATGATGGATTAAACAGAAAAATTGTGCATGGGGGACAGTTGACAGACTCGTTCGAAGTGAAGACCGGTGTCAGGCAGGGTTGCTTACTCTCACCTTTTCTCTTTCTCCTGGTGATCGACTGGATCATGAAGACGTCAACATCTGAAGGGAAACACGGGATACAATGGACATCTAGGATGCGATCGGACGATCTATACTTCGCAGATGATCTGCCCCTCCATCACAATCGCAACAACAAATGAAGGAGAAAACGACCAGTGTAGCAGCAGCCTCAGCAGCAATAGGTCTCAATATACACAAAGAGAAGAGCAAGGTTCTCCGATACAACATAGCATGCACCAATCCAATCACAATTGACGGAGAAGATTTGGAAGATGTAAAAACCTATACATATCTGGGCAGTATCATTGATGAACATGGTGGATCTGATGCAGATGTGAAGGCGCGGATCGGCAAAGCAAGAGCAGCATATTTACAACTGAGAAACGTCTGGAACTACGTCACAAGACCAGCCCTCACATGGAATCCTCAAGGCCAAAGAAGGAGAGGAAGACCAAAGAACACATTACGCCGGGAAATGAAAATAGACATGAGAAAAATGAACAAGAATTGGATGGAACAAGAAAAGAAGGCCCAGGACAGAGTGGGTTGGAAAATGCTGGTCGGTGGCCTATGCTCTATTAGGAGTAACAGGCGTAAGTAAGTAATATCGGCTCTCTAGATGAATACTTCTATGCTGCTTATCTTTTTCACCTGATTATTTTTTAGAATGGGTGTAGCAGTTAAATGTAGAGTGAATATTGTAGTGACTAGCATTTTTACACGCCTACACGATTTATCCTTACTTTTGGACAGATGAATGATTCTAATCATCCTAGTCATTTTGTCACCTATGTGTGAACTTGAGTGTGTATGAACGTACGTATCTGTCTATATGCTTGCTTGTATCTTTTGGTAACATAGATATTGAGTCACGTTTCAACTCAATTGAGTAGTCTCAGAAGCGTTTCTCCATGTTCACACATCCAATCGTAAATGGCAAACAAAAAGTTCATCCAGTAGCGAATTGTGTAAGTCACGCATTATGAATATCTTTCGACTAAAAAATTTGGCTTAATTTGTGACATTTTAATCCGTCCATAGGTAACAGGTATGACTTTTCATATGAAAGAAATTACTCAGAACTAATTACTTTTTCAGTGACACTTGTAATTTTCAATTTTCATTCACAATAACAGATGCTTACGAATTATCTGTAGCACATAAATAATCTTTAGATATGATCCCTATACATAAACTAGTAGAGATATATCAGTAACTGACTAATTAAATTAAATTCACTACTACGATAAAATAACGAACTTTTATCATAGTACAAAAATACTAGAATATAGTGTTAGCAGTTAGGTGTGATAATAGGAAATTGGATAGATGAATGTTTATGGCTATATATGGGTGATTAATTATGAAGAATTTACATCAACTTTGAACTGCAACTCAGGTAACTTAACAAGAAAAGGAAGGTGAAATAATTTAAGAACACGATGATGGGACAGATGTGTACAGACATTTCACACGCTTGTGCTTATATACTATCAAACGGTATATAAGAAGTTACAGACGAGCGACGCTATAGGGAAAGAGGTCAACCATGCACCTATACAAGCTTTCACCCTGTGTCCAATTCTGAAGCAGAAGGACATTTGTATACGTTATAAATACACGTGGGAATTAAACCTTCATAGTTATTACAGCCTTTTTACTTGTATATTGGGTTTGATATACATCAAGTAGTGTGCACGACAATTCAATAGGACTGTAGTATACAATACTCGAACAGGGAGCTTCATGTCTACTAAATTTATATGCATATAATTACAGAGTTATCTCACACAAAGAGAATTTCTTAAAAGTTAGGAGTACTTACTTTTATCAGTTAGTTTTGGTGCAATGACATCACATGTGCGTCTTAAAAAGAAACTGTTCAATAGTCGGAATAATTTGGCTGATGGACTTTCTAAATCATCACGATTCTTCTCATAGTTTGTATAACTCCAAGAATCACAATAATCATCATTGTAAAGATTGTTTTTAACATTTTGTACTAAGTTACGACCATTTAATAGTGGTATAACAAATTGTCGACGAAACTCTTCTAAACTTGAAGTTAAACGTCCTGGTACACAGAAATTAGCCAATGACCATAATTCATTCAAATGATTTTGTAATGGAGTCCCCGTTAATAGTAAACGTCTACGTGCACGTAGTCGACAAAGTGCCTAAATTATAAAATACAGGAATATAGAATTAAAATATATTTCAAATAAGTAAAGATTGATGACGATGGAAGGATGATGAGCGATCTATTGAGGATTGTACAAATATCACAAAATTAAAAAAATATGCACCAGCAACTTTAAATTATCCGACTAGTTCCTCCGAAATCGATAGCACTTTGTTAGTATGTTTAATTAGAGTGATGTTTGATTGGTCAATAATTAAAGGAAGACATGTCTCGGTACATTTAGCATAAAAGAATATTTTATAATGTAAATTTCATTCTGTTAACTCAGTGCTTTTTATCTGCATCAACAACCTCGTGTTTGAGACTCGAACATGATTGAACGGTCGTTTCATTGAGTGATTGTGAGGATCACGTAATCAAGTAACGTGATCTAGTGTTTATTGCTAGTAGTCTGCACAAGCCAACCCTATGCGATAACAGACTGACGAATAATTTATCGACTAAAATACGTATATAATGATCCATCGTTATATTACATATTCTGTGTACCAATAAACAAAATCCAAACAACCTACCATAGTTGTATTGATATTGGAATTTTTTAATCTATGCCCTTCGTCACATACAACCATATCCAAGTCGGAAATTTCATAGATTTCACTAGTATGCTGTAGAAACATTTCATACGACATAAGAATAACCTGCGGTGAATCACTGGACATTGTTAGGTAGTTCTGAAGGAGAGAAACAAGACAAAAAAAAGTCAGTTACTGATAAATAAAAGTGGAAAATAATGAAAAAAATTGACAAAAACTGTTGTTTATATTACCATTAGTACAGGTTTTAGTTAGCCCATTGTTGATACATATAAAAAAATTTGATTAATCCTTGTTGGAACATGTGGACGTGATATATACAGATCGCCTTGATACAGTGATTTTGTCACAAGCCTTATAAAGAAGATGGATTTTGACTAGCAGCGAAATTCAGGAGGCGCGTTTTGTCCAGTTTGCGACTCGTCAGCTGAACGTACATGCATCGTGGTTTTGACATGTACACTGAGACTCAAACTTACGATGCAGATATGGTAAGAGATTAGTCCTGAATATCGACAACGAAAAACTACAAATGGTTATAGAGAAATTTTCTATGTTGTTACAAAAATGTTACTGCTTTTAGGATGCATTACATATGACATTCAAGTCAAATGTAAACAAAATGGCCAGTTGTCATAACGTGAGACTTTAGGACCAGAAAGAGACCAAAGTTATCAAATTAAAAATACAAACACAAACTGTTTAAGTAATTTATTTACAGTTCATGTGTTCGGTTTTTGAACCATACTAAGCATGAGTGTTAATTATATTGCTCGGCTGCTCAAACATGTAAATAAGTTGTTGAAAGTCCGATTGTTTAACCGCTAAGCAATTAGCTCCACATATGCTGTTTACATGATTCTCAATAATTATCAAATTATTCTACAAATAATGAAAAACAGAATAATCGGACATAATCAAGCAAAGACTCACTTTAACAGAATGATTTTGATCTACACAATACACGGGTAACTGTTCACGACCTAACCATTTGGAGAATTCCATTTGCCAATTCTAACATGATGTAAATAAGAGAGGAAAGACAGAATATATGATAAAAGCCCAAAAAAATATTAGTAAGATTAAGTTGTATTTTTTTAAAAATAGACCAATTACCTGAACAAGTGTACCAGGAGTTACAATAAGGCAACGTTGAATAACCGGTCTACCTCCGTACGGTCCTTGTCTAATTAATAACCAAATGGTAGCAATAGCTTGAACTGTCTTACCAAGACCCATTTCATCCCTAATAAATTAACGAAAACTTATTACGAATGACGTTACCTTCTAATTTACATAATGAATATGAAAACGAAGGTAATGTGTTGTAGGCAAGATAGAAGTAGTGCACAGCAGGATAAATATAGCCTTAAGAATGTTAAGAAAATACATTTACATAGTCTAATACAAATTAATTAAACACTATCAAATGTATTCTGTGTTATAAATACAGTAAAGCAGTACCTTACAGACCAAAAAATCTCAATAGAATAAGGCAACAATAAAGATATAAATCAGCAATAATCATTGATTTGTGTACAACAAAACGGTACTATACCTTTTATGTTGAGGCTAATTATGCAGATTGATTTATTGTACTATAATATTAAGTTCCCATTTATGATTTTAACGATGAGATTGTTATGTATATGCAATATTAATACTAAGTAACAATAGTTAAAATTCAAAATACATAGTTCTATGGGTTTGAAAAACAATTTGATGGACCATTAAAGTGATTGTTGATATTTTCGCTGAGAGTTGTGTCACTTTTATAAATTCATACGCTGTGAGAGTATTCGTGCAGATGGTGAGCAACACTAGATACGAATTTCGCAACGGGTATTGCCTGTTACTATGGTTTTTGCTTACCAATGTATACTTGAGGAACTCTATTTATCAATCCCAATTTAATGGGGATAATGAGTGAACACATATTTCATTGAGGGGATTAAATTAGTATGAAATATTTATCAAGAATATGATGAATCTGCACAGTATGTTAATACTCTAATACAGGTTATTTTCCTGCATGGAACAAGATCGACAAATGTTTATGTCAGTACAAAAATACAGATAAAGCTTTTCTTTGCCGTGGGGTCAAAACTTAGACCAAAAAAGTTGAAACTCACGCTAAAATACATCCATAAGTAATTTGTGCATCAGATTCATTTAAAGCAACATACGGTTGAAACCCCATTAAACATTTATACAAGAAAATAATACCTTCACATTGATGTGGCTGTAGACGTGAAGCAAACTTCGACTCTAAAACTACATCCACAATAGGAAGGTTGTCGGGATTCTGAGACCACTAAAATTATTTTTTAAATAAAACGACGAATTAATCTCTGGATAAGGTCGACCATTAAGTCAACGATTAACATTGAACTTGGAAATATTAAATCTCTATGAGTAGCAATGAAAGTAAATTTTTTGTATAGACACTGTCTTTATTGCTAATATAACAACTGGTTTATTGGCTGCTCTGTTCAATACATTTACTCATATTAGTGGATATATACATACTGACTAATAGGGCTGCAGTTCACAAACAATCAATTTAATCTTCAAATTCATCAATGTAGAATGAATGTATGAGGATACATGACGTTTATTAGAACGATTTTATTCACGATCAGTATTTATTCCATAGTTTAAAGAGTCTACTGATATTATCTGTTGTGATTTTATGTAATAGAATTATTTTTTTATTCGCTACTGATAACCTGTGCATGATATTTGGTCATGAGCTTAGAGCGTACATGGATATTTGTTGCGATTTGATGCAAGGGATGTGGACGACGTCAAACGCTCAGCAAATATATATGTCATCAAGGAGTCCAATATCACTACAAAGACAACTTAAAAGGCACCTATGTAAAACAATTAATTTAATCATTTAGACTAAGTAAACTAACGAGAGATCAACCTTTGAAAAGTCTATACAAAAAAGAACGAGTTGATTAATTGATATTTATACTCTTCTTACCGAAATACAATTGAGCAATGTATGTATAAAGGTATCTCAATTATTTGTCTGGCTTTCTGATCATGATATGGGATCGAATTAACTATTTTTAACAGTGCAATGAAACTAGGTTTCTTTTTAGCCACTTTGAACAATTAACAGCAAAATCAAGCGACAGTTATCAATTTTATTAATATATTTTAATGAATCTCAACATTTACTGTTCATAATTTACAGAAAGAACTAATCTTAGTTAGACAGCTATTAAAAACAAAGATCGGATAGCTGTTTCCTCTCAGTATATAACTCCTAAGCAGGGTTCATCCACGATACCACCACTGGAGATCGAACGCATGACACTAAGTTCTGGTGCCAAGCGTTTAACATTTAGACCACTAAGCCGGTACCCAACCTAGCTTCAATCGATCGGAGGCTTGATAGCAACGGTAAACAGACACAACAGAGACTTTTTACTGAGCTACGACTTTCAAGGGGCTTCGAGGCTTAAAGTCAGTCGATAAGTATCATTATTCGTCTGACTTCAAATACGAGAATTATACTTGTCATCATTATTATTCAAAAGAATGGATTTAATAAGCAGTAATCTTGTGTTAAAATGATCAAAACCTGATAGGAAATTATAAGCAGAGATGGATGGTGGCTAGCACTGAAATCTAGGACGCACGTTTCGTCCTATTTGAGATTTGTCAGCTGGATGTACATGTATCTCAAAGTTAATGTTCACCACGGAGACTCGGACCCAGTACCGTTTTCTACAAACACCATCGCGTTATCCATTTAGCTACTGAGTCCAGATAGCCACTACCTTGTGCAATGGGGTGAAGTTTTAATTCATTTAATTCAGCCAATGAGAGATTGATCAATTTCAGTCCTAAACATCAATTGGAAGATCCGAACAACCAATACAAAATGAATAGGAAATGTACTGAGAATTCAATAAACAAATAATAAGTCATATACCTAAATTTCCATCAGACTAAATTACATCAAAATTTTGAAAACATGTGGCATTAGATAATAGTTTGACATTATGAAGACCTGTATTTGACCGATCATAAGTAGAAAAGTGAATAAATGACGAGGTTTAGAATTAAGTTGTTACTCTTACAATGCAATTAGCAGGAGGCTTGGGCATAACCAGATGGTTTGAAGAACCCCAGGACTCATTCAGTTTTGATTTGGAATTCGTCTACAAGACACCAAAATCGAGGTTATGTTGTACACAACGTGAGATATAATATGGAAATATACATGCAATTTATAAATCAGTGCTAGAAAATTAACTAAGATATTTAGGACGTGTAAGACACAAAGCCAAAGTGAGAATCGTACAATTTAATTGCATTACTAACAAAAAGATAGCTAGTCCTTATCATCCAGAACTAGTATATTTAAAAAACTGATCATCAGACACTAGTCAACATTATGTTCATTGAATACTCACGAACATCCACATCTCTGCTATGTACTAGTCACGGTTTGCTGCTGCTGTATTCATTTTTAAAGAGCTTACAAATGCATGTAATAATCGCCAGTTTAAAATCTATCAGTCGTGTCTAGAATATTCATTTCTGTAATACTCTGAAAACAGGTCTTAGTTTAGGTATAGATTGGTCAGTCAAATATTCAACTTCTGCCAATTCCTTGGAAACCATCATATGTATTCTATGTCGAAAACTATCTGTCTATACATCAAGGCTGCCCTCAATTCGTTTAGAGGCAATGTTATTGAAGAAGCATTTGTATGAGGTGAAATATAACTTTGTTGCGTTAAGAACCCATCAGTATTGTTTGATAAACATTTATTTTGTTACATTTATTTCTTTACTGACTAGTTTTAAGTTTTTATGTCCTTTTTCCTACAATATTGTTAGCTCACATTTTGTGGGAAATTTCTCGGTCTCCTATCATACCAGGCTTTTTCCTATAATAATAATACTATGTAAATATGAGAACAATCATAATGAATACACTAGTTTCCAGTAATTAGAAATGAAACTTGATAAGAAACGATAATATTCATGATGAAAGTCGACCAATCTCTGCCCCAAATATTTTTCTTAAAGTTTATCGGGCTCATATTATTTTCTAATTCAATATTCCCTTAAACAGAGCAAGTAAATTTTCTTAACGACTGAAACTAGACGGTGGAATGAAACAAATTTGATGCAGCAAAAACAGGAAAACAAACCACTTTGAAATGTGTTTATTATGAAAATTAGCATTTGACTCATTCATTCTAAATGCCATTCAGAATCCGACCGTTTTTTCTGTTTTGTTTGAAAATCTAAATTGAAATGGGACAGTACGATTTATCAACGGATAGAAGTATACGGCAATTTGTCACAAGGACTTACACAGAGAAATGACTAGTGAATAACTAATGCCCACATGCAATCCCTAACAACATAAAACTTTTTAAACGTATGTCAAGGTCTCTTAGTATTTAAGTTTATCAACTAATTCTCTTATAATATCTTGAAGTTATTTTCCTTGTTTAGATGGTCTCAGCAACTCCATCCGTCAAACTAAGGTTTTAAGGCAGAAAACTTACTTTATACAACTGCAGATGTACCTTCAACTTCTGTATTTTAGAACGAAACATCAGTGTAATCATTTACTAGTCTCCTAGGTTGATCTTAAGGGTATCAAATGCGGAAAACTATTATCCTTAAAAGGTTTTAAGAGATCAAAGGATTGAAGTTAAAATGGACTCTGAAATAAAAATTATTCCGGGAATAGATATCATGTAAACGGTACCTTTGGTGAGAAACTGGGATTTGTGCTTGGTTTTCTTGTCGAAATTTTCGCTGGAAATAAGGACAAAATAAATACAATACAATACACTAGTTACCCGGTGCATGTAACGCCTCAGTACCATCATTTGATTTTGAGGAAAGATTAACTAACTGTGGCTTCTCTATCAGTGAAATAAGCTCTGCTTCATAAGGCCCAATATGAACAACCGAACCAATATCAATTTCATTTAAAAATGCTAATTTATGACCAGAAGCAGATGCTATTCTATAGTTGGAAAATAACCGGTAAATTTACCTTTATTAAAAAAAGTAACACTTACACTTTCAAATCCTCATTGATAAGCTTCATGATACGACCTTCGACCTCTACAAAACCTAAAAATTACGTAGACATAAACAAGACTGGTGACTGCTTACCATCCCCTTCCCATTTTTTATGCTAAAATGCAAGCAAAACTGGTAAACGATATTCGCCATACCTTTTTAGTCGATGCTTTAGCATATACAGCCTCGAAATACCTGGAACATTTCGTAGCATGAGATAAATTAAAATTTGTAGGCGTATTGTTCATTTTAGGACTTGAGGAACAGTGTGAAACTGACTTGTACTCAGACGTCTTCACGGGGTTGGAATTTATCGACAGATCTTGAGACTGACTAGTACGACTTGGTGCTGCAGATCTCCGCATATTACTTTCTAAATGAAACGTTACAATTATCAGTTTCAACGGAATGATTCTATTAATAAGTTTAAAGAAGCAACTGCTAAGAACAATGTTTTTCATCATCTGATGCGAACAACTCATTATTCTTCACAGTTATTTGAATATACCCAAAAAACACTTTTGGACAGTTATCTTTCCTTTTACAAATGCTTGGTTTACTTAAACTTATACTATATCCCTCAGGACTTATCTCAAGCAAAAACAGCGATTACAAAGCAAATGAAATCACTGTTCTTTCGCTTGAAAACCTTACCTTTTGATCATTCTGTTTGTGAACCTTTAATCCTAGTGGATGTTACATGAAAGGACTAACCAATAAATTGCTAAGGCTTTATCTAGCTTGGTCCGTTTTCTAAATTTATATCAAACAAAAATATTTCACAAAGAAAACGCCACTATAGCCAATATATTTCTGGGATAAGGCATGTTGACAGTAAACATAACGTCAATTCGATATATTTCTATGTACGGATATATAAACAACACAATGCTGGATTTATGACTTAGCTGAATAAATCTGAATACACAGTCAACAAACAGTTCAATTTCATGGGCTTGAATGCATGTTAAATAATCAAGAAAAAAAAAGGCTCTTTAGTAAGGTAGACTTCAATGAAACGTTTGCGCACATTTGATGGTGATAGTTTACTTTAGAGAAAGGAGGAATGAGAAACGTGGAAAGAAAGTTACTACCTTAGTGTAAGTTGATGACTCCATAACACGTATAGGAATCCCTCGGTTTCCACATCTTTCGGGTTAAAGGGAGAATATACAGGAGTCTGTATGTATATTTATGTACATCTGTGTATGTCCATTCTTCTCTCCATAAATCCCATTTGCATAATATTAAGAAAATTACCAGCATAACAATGGGGAAATGAGAATGCCAAGTAACAAGATGGTTGATGATAGCAATAGTAAAATGCGCGAGCTACGGAGGAGCTATTAAACGACTCGAAACAGTATCAAAGTGGAAATGGTCGAATGTCAAACACAAGACCAAGCCTCTAGCTTCTATAAGTTTGTAATTGGTGACGTTACGATAAATACATGAAGGGAAAAATAATTTCGGAGCCAGTAACTCATTCAGCCAAGAGACAGCAATCTCAAAAGACAGGAGATAACAGGTATCACTGTAATGTAGGACCAAAGCGACTGGAGTCCAGAGAACGAATTCCAGGCTCATTTAAAAGCAAATGACTTTCTATTACATCACATAAAGAGCCTCATAATAAGACTTATATTTTTACCCAAGATATAACTAGTGGGAAAATGATTCTGAATCGGTGAAAAAGGGTAATGCTCATAACGGTCAGTCGGTAAGACCAGGCACATATATATATCAGTACAAGTTGCCATACCTTATTAACACAACAAGATGAACACCAAATCCATAGAAGCAGTTACTTCAATGCTTATATATATACTACTTACGATAGTCGCGCGGACCCCAACCAAGTAATCTGCATCTACCAACATGGTCCACACCAGAAGTTAGTGACTTCAAAGACTGATGCTACGTTTCGGTTTAGCCGCCCTTAACTTTGTTCTATCCGCACCCAACACTGGTCAGCATTGCGTGCCGTGGTAATCGGTGGTTGAACATGTGTAGTACGTGGCCCGATCATCTCAGTCAATGAAGATTCACAGCCTCATCAACTGACTTACCATCATTCTCTGCGTCTAGCCTCACTATAACTTACCCGGTGATTCGAGCAATGTTTCCACGACATCTTTGATCAAGTACTAGTAACTTACGAGTATCCTCTACTATTAATGATCACATTTCGCAGCGTGAAATAAATCAGGACGAACTGATTCGCAGTTCGTTAATTAAAATGATTTTTGTAAAATGCGGACTTTAAAGCAAACCACACCATTACTAATTCACTGAATAATAGAAACACTTATGGCTTAGGATTCTAAAACATATCGCTATTTCTATGCACACAGTCTTGTAACCCTGTTTTGTCTTTTCCTCAATGGTCTAGTCATAATAAACATTAAGATTGTGGTTTTTTAAAAACCGGTTAAGAGGTATGTGGAGAAAGACTAGCATACAACACCTGCGTATGAACCATATCACTAATCATCTATAACCAGTGTTTGGCATTATTGTGCAGATACCAACTAGGTAGTTACAAACGTAGTCCAGACCAACAGTCAGAAACAGTGAACTGACCTCAGGCCATTGTTTAGCTGTTCCTGGTGTTTTTCTAAGTTTGCCAAAATTGCATGACGTGGTCGGTATTGGTTGGTTACACGTAACACATGCCGGCAACATCTCAACCGGTGAACATACATGGTCTCATCAGGTTATTTTCCATCTTCCCTAGTACCCTGCGTATAACCTCAGAGTTGCTTACCTGGTCGTCCTGTAACACCTGAACAGTGTTTTCGAGACGCTTAACATCAGAAGCACGAACGCTACGTCTGTGTTTACCTCTTGTCGACCATGTTCCACAGCCATATATTCCTACCGTGTAAACCCCTTGATATTTAATCGGAAACTAATCCTTTACCAGGACTGGTGAGACCTAAGAAACTTGACGTATCTAACGCTCATTCATGATGTATAGCCAATCTGGGTGATGGTTCAGACCAGTTCTGACAGTGTTACGATAAATAGATCAGGCAAATAATTCCAAGTGGACTGTAGAAAGAAAATCACTAATTCCGTAAAATCTACAACAGTAGAACTGAGTAACTGAAAACGGCGAGACTATAATTTATGGACGAACCAATCCGATTTACGATAACAGGTCTTGGATTTCGGCGCGAAGCTATCCATTTGGCTAAATAGCGTCCTAACATTTTAGCTGATGTCAGTTCGTAGTGAAAACCCTCAATCTAATCACTATCCCTAACCACCAACTGCAAATCACAATCCTTATTCTTCAGACTGGTCTAAAACCGTTATTGAGCCATAGTCAGTAGGTGGACATCAGGCAATAGTTTGGGCTGTGTCAAACTCAGAAACAACTTGAGCGCTATTTCCACCGTGCAGGTATGGTCGTGCCAACAATTTAATGCAGTTAAACAGCAAAAAGACAAGCCTTTTTAAAAGTCAAATGATGCAATCACTATTTATATATCCTTATGCATTTTTATAGAACATAGTTTGCATTCAATTTGATTTGAATTCGAATGACTACGAAATTGCCGTTCCACGAAACAGCTTTCGAGAGAGAGGGCGGTTATGTGTTATGCGTAACCACAAGTCTTTCAGAGGACAAGAAATGATCATCATCGAACCACTGAGATTTTGATAGTAATAAGTGCCTGATCTTACACATATACATATGTTGAGACGACTAGTGTCATAGATTCACTCACCTGTATTTCCCAGAAAGTACTTTCCATCCATTGTAGTTGAATTTGATGTCCTAGAAGTCTTGTCGGCTTTGTCTAATCATCTTGTGTGGTTATTACGGAATGTATCTAGGGTGATACTGTGGTACATGGAGGGACTTTGGGCTCAGGCGTAGGATTCATCTTGTATGGTTCTGTGAGAATATATAAAAGAATCTGGCAATATGTGTTTTTTCCTGTGAATATTTGAATGTTTTCCTTGTTATGAAACGTTTTTGTATTTTTTGCTGAATTCATATACTATTTCATGTAATATTGACACTTTGGTTTACTGTGATAATCTGAAGCAGTCGAACTCAATATATTTAATCGTCGCAAATAGATAATGAGAAAAATTGTAGTATAATCGATAATATTTTATTTGCAATATCAGTTAGGTGCACATTAATGTATAGGGGAATTATCGATCAGCACAAAAGTCATACTTGCCCTTATACGTAAGGTGTGGTACCTTTATTTGTAAGCTTTTTTAATTTTTCGTATGACAATTGTCACTCTGCTGGCGTATAAATTTAGATTACGATCCTTTTACTTGATATTATATAGCTTCTCACTGACTGTCTTCATTTTATTCTATCATTAGACTTCGAGGGCTAACAAATTGAGTGACTGCGTGTTTTTATTGTTACTGTTTGGTCGGTAGAAATTTATAGATCTACTAGATACAAACCAGGTTCCCTGTTTGTTAGAAACATGTAGATCACTAACATAGATTACCTATGTTGAATGATTAAGGAATCTAACCGAGTTAGGTAGAAATGTTGTGACCAAGAGCAAACCTCAAAGTCACACCTCGCAGTCAGCACCTCACACGGATTACTCCTTGATCGTAACAAGGCACTATGGTTGCCCTGAAAACCGTATAACACAAAGGATGTTACTACAAGTAGGAACGAGGGAGAAGTTGAGGCCATCACCGCACGGACTAGTCCATGGCGTTGGTTGTGCTTGACCTTGACAGGGACCAATGAACCGTTCGACATTCAGTGATCCGACTGCCTGATGACCTGACTTGGACTCAGTGATATACCACTGGCCCAACAAACGTTTGTTACTTTTGGAAAGTTTGATCCTTCCTCTTCTGAATGGATGAAACTAACTGATATTTACAGTGATAGACGGCGTAAATCAGCTCAATGGGTTGGAATGATCAGTCCATGATGGTTTTCCCTTGCCTTAGTAAAACTCGGTTGATGACTCACCATCTTATGATCAATCTTCTAATATTAGGATCACTCCACCACGATTGTTGGTTTGGCTAGCATTCAGCATTCAGAAACAACTTGAGCGCTATTTCCACCGTGCAGGTATGGTCGTGCCAACAATTTAATGCAGTTAAACAGCAAAAAGACAAGCCTTTTTAAAAGTCAAATGATGCAATCACTATTTATATATCCTTATGCATTTTTATAGAACATAGTTTGCATTCAATTTGATTTGAATTCGAATGACTACGAAATTGCCGTTCCACGAAACAGCTTTCGAGAGAGAGGGCGGTTATGTGTTATGCGTAACCACAAGTCTTTCAGAGGACAAGAAATGATCATCATCGAACCACTGAGATTTTGATAGTAATAAGTGCCTGATCTTAC